AAACACTGGATCTGAACACATAACCAGGTTTGAAACTGGTTATTTTGTGTGGGCTTTCTTTAATATCTCGCATCTGCTCGCTTTCCTTGAGGTTTGCGTTCCCTTTTTCTGAGGACAAAAGCGTATTAAATATTCCAAACGTGCACTGACAGGAGCCTTAAATTGGCGGAAAACCTTTATTTCTACCCCCAGCGTCTATTCATCTCTCCTCCTTTTTCGCACGTCTTTGGTGCGTTTTGGTGTTTAAACAGGTTGGATACGGGCATTTCCATAGATCCAAACGCTCACAATGCAGTAATGAAATTACTCCCAGCGTCCCCGGGAAGCTAATCACATTTGGAGAACAAAGTCAACTGTGGAGTTTGTGGAAGAAAGTGGTTGGGGGGGGGGGGTGAGGGGGCACCCAGGTCTTAAACACTATGCAGAATACAACAATTAACGTATGGAGGGGGCAGGCTATAATCTAAGTAAAAAAACAGATGGAGTCTTAATACGTTTATCCACGCTACATAACCAGAGGAGCCGAACAAACACGGGATTTATAAGGCTTAAGAACGCCAATAATTGAGCTAAAATTATTCATCCTCTGCGGCAGGTGCAAGGACGCCATGTCTGTGTGTTTGTGTGTGTTTGGTGAGATTGTGTTGAACTTATGCTTCTTCCCGCTCCCCAAACATAACTTTATCGATCTATAGGTGGCCCCCAGGCCCCGGGGCAGCCTCACAAACGCACAACATCAGCACAAACAAACACACAGCTCTCCACAAAATGCAGCTCTCAAAGTCTGGACCTCACAGCTACGCACAGATGTTCAGTAACCAAGTAGAGCTACTTAAGTTCTGTAGTTAAGTACCAAAATGCAGTATCTGTACTTTATTGGAGTAGGTATTTTTTCCATACTTTTACTTTTACTCCACTACATATTTTGGATTAATTCAATACTTTTACTATGATCGATTTTTCACGGGCTGAATCGTTACTGGTTACTGATATGTAAACGTAATGATAGATAGCTCTGTCAGGATTTGGGAAGCTGGCTCCTGATTGGTCGATTTGAGCCATCAAGAATAGCCTATTAAAAAAAAAAGCCTCCAGAAAGATTGAGAAATCATGGCCTTCAAAAATTCCCCATCTAATCTGAAGAAGCATATAAAGAAAAGTAAAAAAATACAATGACATATAAGCTAGTAAATAAGCGCTAGTTCAGTTCTCCCTGTTCACTCAGGACGTAGCAGCTAACGTTAGCTAAAGCTAACCTAGCTGGCTAGCTGTATGATAACGTTAGCTAAAGCTAACCTAGCTGGCTAGCTGTATGCTACATGCTAGCTTAAAGGCTCAGCTCAGGATTCTGACTCTGGAATAATAAATAATAGTAGATGAAGTGCTGTTGATGCTAATGCAGATGTAGTTTTCTGTTTTTGTAAACACCTGTATGGCCTTTCACACGTTTGAAATAATATAAACAATATCTATCACACTTTTGACTTCCTTTTTTTAATATACACAGTACTTGTACTTTTACTTATACTTGTACTTTCGATACTTGAGTAGCAATTTTTGAAATAGTTCTACTTTCAATACTCAAGTACAAAAAAATGGAGTACTTTTGTACTTCCACTTAAGTATGGAGGTGAAAGAATACTTCTACTTTTACACAAGTCAATTTTTTTATATAGTACTTGTACTTCTACTCCACTCCTCTACTCCAGTACTTTATACATCTCTGCTGCCACAAGCTTTAAACGAGAAAATAAAACGTCTTTTGTGACATTTGTGACCATCTATGGAGCATCAACAAACCGCAAACTTCAACCAGAGTCAATCAGGGCTCAAAATGCGTGAATGGACCCGGGTTCAGAGTGAGTCAGGAGGAATGCGTTGGTTGTAAAGGCACGCGAGCATCTGTCGCCTCGTCTGCGCGCCCATTGTCACTCATTCAATTAGCAGGATTTTCCTTTTCTGGAGGGCAGGGGCCGCCCGGAGAGCCTGGGAGTTCCACCCGGTCACGGGGGGGGGGAGAAACACACACACACACACATACACACATACACACACATACTCTCACAGACCCACACACACACATACACTCTCACTCTCACACACACAGACTCTCTCACACACACACACACACACACACACACACACACACACACACACACAC